TTTTGAAATAAATTCTCAGCGAGTTTCCAAAGCTATTTTTTTGTTATTATCATTATGATCATTATGATCATGAAGAACTAGATTAATTGTCTTTAATCTAGTTCTTGTCGTTTTTCTTACTCTTATTATTACTATTGTTATCATTTAGTTATTGCAGTTATTTTATTATTCTCATTATCGTTATTATCATTACAAATATTTTTGTCAAAAAAACCTAATGTTCTTTGTCAAAGAAATGTTTTCCTATTCCTCTGTATTCATATCAAATTATTTTTGTCATCGCTTACATTATCACAATTATACATTTCCTAAGTCATTCACCTACTAACAGTAACTAAAGATTAGATTCCGATCACTAATCTATTCATTGAACAGAGATGAAAAAGGTCTTAACTCCATTCTTATTGCTTTAAATCCTACTCGTTCATTAACTTGCCTGAATAGACAACACTAGCGAGCTTAGACCGGATCTCTCTTTAAGACACTTCTCTTTTGGATCTAACAAGAGCAACCAAGATCAATCGTGTATTCATATGATCGATTCTCGGAGCCACGTTTTGCCTATCACCCTTTTCACATCTGCTACTTTGTCAATTAAAAAAAATCCCCCCAAAAAAACAAAATTAAATCAATTAATATTTATTTTATTTTACCACTCATATAGACAGGAATACACGACTAAAATAATTATTTTCTCGACGTCTTCAAGTCAGTGTCTTTTTCTTTGTCAAATCCCAAAAAAAAAATTTTCACTTGAAACATCAGGAATTTTCTGTAACATTTTCGAGGAAAGGTCGAAGTTTCCATAAGAATACTTTTGAAATAATTTGTTGTATTCGTTTTCTAGTTAGTTCTTGTCAATTTTTATTTTTTCTGTGAGATACAAAAAGTAAATTTAAGGATTGTCAGTAATTATTGTCATAGATGCCGGAAAACGAACGCCAGATGTGCAAATAATTAGTCATTTATCACAGGGTATACGTGATAAACCTATTGATATTACATCAAACAACATGAAATTTTCTTCCTATTTTTTGTCGGATACTTTTTTTATTTTCATTTTCTTTTCTTTTCCTCCATTTTGTTTTTTTTTTTTTTTTTTTTTTTTTTTTTTTTTTTTTTTTTTTTTGGTTTTTTGTTTCGTATTTTTGGCTTTTACTTTTTCCATTTTTCTATTAGTATCATTCTGTTTGAATTCATCTTTTTCATTATTTCATTTCCTTAAATTTCTTTTTCCTTTACCTTTCATCCTCGCTAACTTTCAAATTCCAAAATAAATACATGTGAACTAACATAAACTTAATAAACTAAGTCATTTGTGCCAATTCTCGCCTTTCTTCCAAACCGTCTCCCTTAGTTATGTAATACCTTTAATTAACAAGTCTCAGCTCTGTTTATTGACAAAACTGGCGCCAAACATGGCGCCATCTTTAAATGATAATTTCTTGTGAACAAATGGTTCTACATGTGATTATCGTGTGAGTGTTAGGTTCGAAATCAAAAGCATACTTTTCCTTTGATACTAGAGTGACTTTCCATTCAACTTTGTCAGGCTTTTTAAAACAAATAGTCTAATATTTATTCGATCTATAGCATTGAAATGGCTTTCCATTAAACATCTTGGTAGCTTTATGCAAACATTGAAATGGTTTTTATTCAAACAATCTAATGGGTTTTTTGATTACTTTTCTGAATCTATTCATACTTCAGTTTAGTGAAATATAATAAATTATTCCCTTTGGACGCTCCTTAACATCTGCGCAGATATTTTGAACTTATTATTCTACTAACAATTTTAACAAATTGTGTTTTTCTTGCAATAAATGATCCTCCCGAGGAACCAGAGTAAGTAAAATCCCATTTTTTTCATCTCATGTTTTATTTCATCTTATTTTATTATCTGATTAAATAATTACACAGACCAAATCCAATGTTTTCCCATTTCCACGTTTCGTTCTGTTGAGTATTATTTTGTTCTTTACCAGTAATGCTTCAGAACATACATTATACGGGACTAACTCAAACAAAAAAACTTTCTTTAAAATTTTTGAAATGGGAAAACATTAAGCGACGGTTACTTAACGTGTATTGAGTCCGCGGTATTGCACCGCTTTTATACGCATGCGTAGTAATTCATACTCTACGATAAACCATGATATCATCTTGGTAGATAAGTAGTTGTTTGCGCGCGCCTAATATACAACGCCCAAGTATTTCCCGCCATTTTTTGAGCACTCACGCCCGTCTTTCAAGGCTTGGCTGATCGACTTTCAATCTGTTAAATCAATTGAAACCAATAAAAAGATTCCACTTTTTAAGATCGTGGGTAAAAGCCACCTGAGGGTGGGGGCACTCCACCGCAAACACACTTTATGACTTATTTATTACCTCTTGGCCACGTTGCAAATTAAATATACTGCCAGGGCGTCTTTCATTATTGTATCAAAATCACGAGTCATTTAAACGTTTCCTTCCTTTCTTTGTTATTTTTTTCCCCGTACAGCGTAGTCTCGTTCAAAATTGCCCATTACGGAGTTAACATGCGCTTTAAAACTAGCTTAATTTCTTTTTGAATAATTTTTGTGAATTGCGTTTTGACAGATTCGTCTTCGCGGCAATCTACACAGCCGAGATGCTCCTTAAAATTGTCGGCAGAGGGTTTGCCCTGCATCAGTACGCCTATCTTAGGAATGCCTGGAATTGGCTGGACTTTTCGGTAGTAGTATTAGGGTAAGAGGTGGTATTTATTATTCATAGCTGACCAGACATCGGGGAACCCTCCATCTCAACCACTGGCATCTTTGTATCAATATTCATCGTATTTGTGGCTTCGACCAACCCACCCTTACTGAATAATTATCGCTCTGTTACACTCCTTTTAAAACCTTTAATGTTTTGGATACCCCTGAAACACACTCCGAGCTGAAAGATCAAAGTCAGGGCACGACTAACTCACATATTGAATTGGAATTTAGCTGGTTGGGGGAAACCGGAGAACCTGGAGAAAACTCCTTGAATCAAGGGAGAGACTCAACGAACTCTACTCACATATGATGCTGAGTCCAGGAATGTAACCCGAGACCTTAAAAGAGAGAGGCTATTGCACTACCGCGACTCCGCTATTTCTTGTGGATATGGGGAAAAACCGGGGTTTTGGGGGAACTTTGGAACTTTGGAACGAGCGAGAATTGAAGCCGAGCAAAAAAGAAGCGATCTCGTTGCTAGGTCCCATTTTTTTCGCGGGCCCTTGCTCGAAACAGGAACTCCAAAACCCCAATTCTTCCTCAAACCCATCAAAAGAACGCCTGCTCTGCAGGCTACGACTCTGCCAATGATTTACTACCCACCTTACCCTCATGCTACCCTTACTTCATGCGAGAAAGATTCTTAGAACACTATATACTCGCATTGATTAATTTCCATTGGTTTGTTTTGGTTTTAGTTATATAACAATGTTACCTGGCGTAGCAAATCTATCAGGAATACGAACGTTTAGGGTTTTACGAGCGTTACGTACAATATCAGCCGTTAAAGGTACGMTTTTATTGAACAGTTCATGCGTGTTGACTCGTCGTATTATCCAATCACTGTGTACGCGGCCTTACTGTGTTATTTAGCCAATGGGTGTGCGCTTCCATTAGAACAGACTTGGATAACCGTGCAATAGTCCGGCCAGCTGAGCGGTGAATTTTGTTTGAAGACAATCTCAGTATGGAAAGGATGAATAAAAACAGTTGCACCTTACCGCCATGTTTACTTTATTCTTTCAACCTCCAAATATAGAGCGTTTTCACTCACGTGAGAAGGCAGCCATAAACAATAGAAACTTTCTGCACAGTATTTGCATAAAAATAGAGTTCAATTCCCGGAGGATAGAAAATGTATTGTTTTGGCACCCCATAATGGCCGCTGTGACGTCACGTGGAAACGCACTATACTTAGGGCCGGTCATTTTGTCCAAATATGCTTTGCGCGCCGCGTTCGAGGCTCAGCTGGCATTGTGTTGTATCCTATCATTGTTAATGGGGAGTGTATCTGTGCGCTGCTTTACGTGTGGGGGCGTTTTTACTAGAATAGACTCGTAACAGCATGCGTGTGTCTATACGTGAATCGCATGTTTAATCATTTATGTATATATTCCTTGGCAGGGCTGAAAGCAATGGTGAACACACTGCTCAAGTCCATCATGATGTTATCAGATGTGCTCATTTTAACCACCTTCTTCCTCTGTGTCTTTGCTTTAATCGGCTTACAATTCTTCGCGGGGATTATGACGAATAAATGTGTTAAGAATGGCTGGCCAGCGCCACCAGATCTTTATAGTCAATATATCACTAACAAAAGTAAGTGTGATGTATTTTCCTTCTCCTTCTCCTTCTCCTCCTGTCTCTTCTCCTTCTTCTTATCCTTCTCCTCTTTCTTCTTCTCCTCCTCCTCCTCCTTCTCCTCCTCCTCATTCTCATTCTCCTCCTTCTCCTCCACTTTCTCATCCACTTTTCTATCTTCTCATTCTATCACAGATCCGGTTTTATATCTGACTTCTCATTTTCTCTTCCCAGCAAATCATTACATCTTCAAGGGAGATAATTTAGCAGTAATATGTGGCAACTCGTCTGATGCCTTGTAAGTGGATTCCTGTTATTTTGAGAGCGGACATGATTGCAAGACAATATAATATCATGTTCAGCAAGAAACTATAGTCTTTCTCGCATAAAAATATGGCAACCGTCACGTGTAAATGGAGAAATATAACGCTTTTGGGTCACTACTTCATGTAGCAGTAAACCTGTGGTGTGTTATACGGTTTTCTTTGGCGATCCGTCTTATGACACTTCACACGGTACTTTATGCAGGCTTCCACACTTAATGTGTTTTTGTTTTTGCTTTTTCTAGGAACTGCCCCGTAAACTATACGTGTTTACCCGACACGGGTCCAAATCCTATATCTAAATTTATTAGCTACGAACACTTTGGATGGGCGCTACTAACATCTGTTCAGCTTGTCACAATGGACTTCTGGGAGAGTATCTATAATAGTGTAAGTGTTGTCTGATATTTCTGTTTTTAAAACGTTTTCTTGCCGATGAGACTCGTGACTTCTTGAAAATCCCCAAACTCATTTGGAAATGGCAATAGTTTTAGAATTTTCCTCGCGCTTAACGGTTGATAAACGCGCCTTCAATTTACCAAAAGTCATTGTTTCCCGCCCTTTTTACTGTGTACACGGTACGCGCCTGCAGTTTACCGGAAGTCAACATTTCCCGCTCTTTTTAGTGAGAACGCGCGTCTGCAACTTTACCGGAAGTCAACATTCATGCTATTTTTAGTGGTTACACGCGTGTACCTTTAGCGTAATCAGTGTTTAATTATTTTTTTGCTGATTTTTTGATTACAGGTTATAGCTGCTAAAGGACCCTTGTACATCTTTTATTTCTTATTTGTAATATTTCTTGGTCCGTTTTATTTGATCAATTTGGTTCTGGCCGTTGTATCGCTTTCCTACGAACAAGAAACAGCAGCCATGCAAGACGAGGAACTAAAAGTGAGTACAAATCATATTCGTGTTCTGTTAGCTAGAACAGTAAATAACTGACCGATATAGAAATATAGATAACTTATAGTGCTTGGGAACGAGGTTATTCCGGGCGAAAGCCCTTGGAATTAAATTCGGAAAAATTAATTTCCGACCTCGATTCCAAGGGCTTTCGCCCGGAATAACCTCGTTCCCAAGCACTATAACTTATCTATATTTCTATATCTTCATGTATTTCATAAGTGCTATGCGGTCCACATATTCTCATCTTTAAATAACTGACCGGTTAACCGGATAACTGACTCCAAAAGTTAATCCCTATTAAGCTAAGCCCTGATAAGCTCAAGGGGCTATGTTAAGAACAGATTTGTGAGATATAAAATAACCAAATATTTCAGGTTCAAAAAGAACAGTTCTTGGCTGCAGTTCACAACCCTAAATACGGTAAAAATGCAATACGACAATCGCTCAGCGTATCTTTATTGACATTTCCCTCCATAAAAACTCCTCCAATAACCTCGAGGCTTATTTTCGCAGGCTTACTGTATACATATATATTTGAAATAACCCTTTTTGCAGCATGAATTAATAAAGCTTTTTTGTTTTTTTCCCAGGCCACGGCGTTTGCCAAGCTAAAACGATCAGCATCTTCTTACGCCTTCGATGGGAAATCTGAAATTGAACCCATGTACGAAGAAGACATTTTACCCTCCCTCCCACCGGAGGAAACTGTCAGTGAACATTTTACAGTGGAAAGCAGTAGCCACAATGTTATTGATGAGGATCCAGAGAATCCTACCGAGCCGAGCATATGGCAGAAAATTCGAAAAGTTGTGAAAGCACTAGTGTGTAATTCTATATTTGAGACTTTCATTACTCTGTGTATCCTATTTAATACATTAGCGATGGCCCTAGAACATCATGAAATGGACGAATCCTTTGCAAAAGTCCTTGAAGTGTTCAATTATGTAAGTATTAACTTGATATATGATGTTGATGATGATGATGATGTTATACCTCGATGGTAATGATGATCATGATGATGCGTGATGATGGTGATGATGATACATGTTGATGATGCTACATGATAATAATTGGGATGATGATGAACCACGATGGTAATGATCATCATCATGATGCGTGATGATAGTGATGAAATTACATGATGGTGATGATTATACATGTTAATGATGATACATGATGATGACGATGAAGATAATGCAACGAATTCCAAATCCATTCCCTCTAGATCTTCACTACAGTGTTCTTCCTCGAAATGGCGCTTAAGCTCATAGCATTTGGTTTGAAAGAATATTGCAAAAACAGATGGAATCTTTTCGATGGAACCATTGTGATTCTAAGCTTGGTGGACATGTTGCTCACTCACACTGGTGCTATTTCTGGTGCTGGGCTTAGTGTCTTGCGAACTTTTAGATTGGTAAGTCATGAATATTTTTGCATCAATAGAAGACTGTTTTACTCCCCCCCCCCTGAACCCCCCGTATGGACTCCCCCCCTGAACCCCCCGTATGGACTCCCCCCCTGAACCCCCGTATGGAAGGGGGTAATAGGGGTGGTTCAGTGATAGAGATGTACCGCTGGTCCGAAACCCTGACCTTATCAAGACGAGCATATCTTGAAAGAATATCTCTCTACATTTAACCCTACCACAGACCTAAGAAAATGTGGCTGTATTTATGGTGTAAATTACCCGCTGAAAATTGATTGGCGGCGTGAAAAAAAAATTTTTTGACAAAAAGTTTTAAATTTTGAGGGCCACGTGTTAGATAACTCTCTGGGTTAATTGTGTCACCCTCCTTAADCAAAGTTTATTGTATTGTATTGAATTGTATTGTATTGWATTGTATTRWATTGYATTRMATTGCATTGCATTGTATTGTATTGTATTGTAAATAGTTAATTTCTGCGCATATGAACATATCCACATGAAATATGCGCGTTATAAATATATTATTATTATTATTATTGTATTGTATTGTAAAATGACACCTTAAGGCTTAAAGATATGAGATAGTGTTTAAAACCTATCCAATGATTATGTCCCATGCAGCCCTAGAAAATATCATTGAATTCGTATACCCTATCCAACTGGACATCTCAGTTGGTATATATCAGTTGGGAATTTCCCCCAAGCTTATTTTCAGCTTACTCATAAGACGCCATATTGTTCCTCTAAGTATTAATACTTTATTAATTTATCATTTCTTCCATCTTCCATAGCTTCGTGTTTTAAAACTGGCCCAGTCGTGGAAAACAATGGGTGCCTTGCTAAATACTATAGGCAAGAGTGTGGGTGCWGTTGGTAACATCATTGTTATTTTGGGTATCATCGTATACATGTTTGCTGTCGTAGGAATGCAAATGTTCCGGACGAGCTACACTCCAGATAAATTCGACGGCGATCGAAGGAGATGGAATTTCGAAGACTTCGGGCATTCGTTTATGATGATATTTAGAATTTTGTGCGGGAAGTGGATTGAACCACTGTGGGATACAATGAGCGCCACCGACGCATCCGCCGTGCTATTTGTTCTTCCTGCTTTCGTTATTGGTAACTTCGTTATTTTGAATCTATTTCTTGCTTTGCTTCTCAATTCGTTCGGTGGTGACTTGGGAAGTGACGAAGAAACCGAAGAAGATAAGCAAAAGAAAGAAGAGGAAGAAGCACAGAGAGAAAGGAAGAAGAAAGAGAAGAGATTTGCTAAGTTAAGTCGCCTCTTGGGGAGGAAATCTGTGTCTGGTAGTAGAAGTAAGGTTGGACCAGATGAGGAAGAGGAGAATGAGAATAGCGAGATGTTACGCGCTGAAGATGGAGACGAAAATGACAACAAAAAAGAAAGAGCAAACAACCTGCACAAGACCAAGAGCAATGATAGTATCAATAACGAAAATGGAATTGAAATGAAGGTTATCAGCAAGGCTTCACTAGAGGAAGGTATCAAATAGAAAATAATATATACTGCTACCCCTAATACCACCACCACCACCCACTACTACTTCCATCTACTACTACTACTACCACCACCACCTCTACCACCACCACCTCTACCACCACCACCTCTACCAACAATACCTCTACCACCACCACCTCTACCACCATTATCTCCCTCTACCACCACCCACTTCCACGCACTACAAAACAGGCAGACAGACAGAGGCAGACACTGAATATTTTAACGTTTTTGTTTTGTTTCCAGAAAACCAACCAATCAATAAATCCAAATCCATGGAGAACGAAAACTGTAAATCCCTGACGACAATCATCGACGTTGATAGAGCAGCTCAGAGAATACGAGAACAACCAGACCCGAGCACCAAAACAACCGACGAACAAAATGAGTCCAATGAACAGAACCTTAGCAATGGCGACCTCGTGGCTAATGGTTCCGCCCCTATCGTGCCTAACGGTAAATCACGCTTATCGGCTGGCTCCGATCGGTCACGCAAGGATGTAAGCCTGGGTGACATTGACTCACGCATTCCATCAGGTAGTCCCAATCACGATCCCAAGCGTGACACCATCGTGACAGTTGATACAGAAATAGTGGAAGGAGAGAGCAGAGTCCGTGACTGTTGTCCATCGTTCTGTTACTGCGAGAGTGTTTGTTGTGTTAGCTACAAAGAGTCATTCATTCGACGGGGATGGCATGGCCTGCGTCAACACGTTCTCAACTTCGTAGAGCACAAGTATTTTGAGCTGTTTATTTTAGTCATGATTGGAGTCAGCAGTTTGACCTTGGTAAGTCACGTGATACTTGCTCAAAAACCCTCCCCCCTCCCCTTCCCCCGAAGTAAAGATTATCATAATACCTGGTCAAAATCGATAAATCACCAGGAACATCCGTGTATCATTGTCTTTAATATTGTTCCAGGCCTTCGAAGATATTCATATCGACAAGAAACCTATCCTTAAAGGGATCCTCGACTTCCTAAACTACACTTTTGCCGTCACGTTTTGCGTGGAAATGTTGTTAAAGCTGCTGGCTTTTGGTATTGTCGGTTACTTCACCAACCTGTGGAACTGTCTGGATTCCTTCATTGTGGCGGTAAGTTCACTTAATCCGTGAGAAATAAAATCAATACACAATTTGCTATGATGTTGGAAGCATGGGTGGCGTAGCAGTGAGAGCGCTCGCCTCTCACCCGGTGTCATACGTAAGTAGAGTTGCTTGTTGGTTCTCTCCTGTGCTTCGACGTTTTTCGGTTTTCCTCCCTCCACAAAAATAGCTTCTAAATTCCAGTGAACTACTTCGACGATACGGCGGCCATATTGGATCGCAAGGCATCATGGGGCATCCAGGGGGCGAATAAAGCTTCGTTGATATTAACAGCTCACCACAAGAGAATACAATAAAAGATGGAATAATTAAGACGGCACGCCGTATCTCTTGTAGTCCATTGGAATTTAGGAGATGGAGAACTACTCTGTAGAAATGCCACTCTATATTGTGAGCTTTGTTGAAAGGTAATGGATTGTAAACTAAATACTGGGCTGGAAGATGAAATGGTGATCATTATATCGAACTAAATTAAAATAATCGTTTGCTGTTGTTTTGGGAACAGATATCTTTAGCAAGCATTAGTGGGAACGAAAACTTGAACGCGTTTCGATCTCTTCGTGCCTTACGGCCACTGAGAGCCATCTCACGATTTGAAGGAATGAAGGTAACTAACTAATGTTTTTTCTTATATGGTATCGATTTTATCTAATATGGTATTATTCTTTTCCTTATATGGTATTGTTTATTACCCTTATAAGTTATTATTCTATTCCTTACATGGTGTTGATTTTTACCTTATACGGTATTATTCTTTTCCTCGTATGGTATTGATTTTTACCTTATATGGCACCACTTTTGTTTAGATCGTCGTCAATTCCCTAGTCCATGCCGTCCCAGCCATTTCGAACGTCTTACTCGTCTGTATGATCTTCTGGCTCATCTTTGCTATCATTGGCTTTCAACTGTTTGGTGGAAAGTTTTTCAAGTGTTACGACAAAGACAACAATCGATATGAAACGTCGGTCGTAAAAACCAAGTAAGACATTCTATACACTCAATAGACCTATTTAGCTTCGTTGTTTGTTGTACACACTTCAGACCATGTGATGCCACTCAGTCTTGGGAGTTGATTCTTTCATGTGTAAATATTTAACGTCATAAAAGAACTCTCGAGGGAATGTCRTGTGATCTGAAATGGGCAATTTGCATGCGAAGGTAAATGGGTCTATTGCAAAATCATTGTCGGACACAAAAGCTAAGACCGAAAGGTATTCTGGGAAATGACATAATTTTCCTCTTAAGTATTCGTCTGAGATACACCCTCGATATGAACTGATCCTCGAGCCTTTCTGTTAATCCAACAATAGGCCCTTTGCAGCTCAGTAATCACGTGCTGATTAATTCACTGACAGCAAATGAATGAACATCTTGATTCCCTTGGGTGAAATATACTGGTGAGCAAACAAAATTTCTACAACCTGTTTCGAGAGATCGTAATACAACTACATTTGGTGACACACTGGTTGGACATCATTTTATTCAGTAGTTCTTTACAAGTAGCTAAAAAGAATCACCAATTTATGGACGTTCATGGGCAATAGATCCCATCGTCAGATTTTTTTCGCATGATGAAAGTACATCATACTAGAAGTAAAATGAGCACATATAACTTGGATCCTTCACATGTAAAATTCTGTTCCAATTATGAACAAAATATATCATTTCGATTTGATCCCATTGTCAGGTTTCTTAAATTTTTCCTTTAAAGTTAGGTATATCCAAGGATTTTCAAATAACGAAATAAAATAGGGGGTCCCCGACTTTGTTATAGAACTATAAGATATTAAAGACGTTTTATTGATATTTTGCTTATCAAAATATTGGAATGACGTCATCACGATGAGCGCGCGCTCGCTAAATTCATGCGTAGAAAGGATGCGCGCGAACAGTGCCCATGAACGTCCTTAAGCTTTGCTCTCCTGTACAGACCATTCCAAGAGTTGCATCACCAGATAACTCTAATTAACATAATTCCCAACTACCATTTCCGACAACATAATAATAATGATAATAATAATAACAATTATAATTATAATAATAATAATATTAATTATTAATTTCATTATTTATCAGGGAGGACTGCCTGAACCGAACGGCCGAGGGAGCACGGTGGGTAAATTCCAAAGTGAATTTTGACAGCTCGTTTAATGGCTTCCTGGCTCTCTTCCAAGTGGTAAGTTCAAATACCATATTTGCCTGCTCTTCCTAGGGAATATAAAAACACGTAAACATACTATACGAAATGGAATCTTTGAGAAAATTCTGTAAAGTTTACTGATTTTATTGTGACTTTTGCAATCTTATTTAAGGCGACTCTTGAGGGCGTATTCGAAATTATTCACGATTCTGTGGATTCTGTAGCGGTAAGTATAGCAGCTAAAAGCAAACGTGTTTTTTAGGGGTAGGGGATAAAATTTTGAATAGAGACCTTTAGCATCAGGCTTATCGCTAGGGATAAAGCCCAGACACCTGACGTCGAACTGCAGTTTGAGGTTCTACTAGCTTTAGCTGTTACATCACAGCGTGGGACAATCACAACAAGGCTAGGCTCCAAACTAGGTGAAAGCTCAGAGATCGAATTAGAATTTAGTAGTTGATTTTTGAGGAGGGAGGAAACCCGGAGAACCCGGAGAAAAACCCTCGAAGCACAGGAGAGAACCAACAAACAACTCTACTCACATACGACATCGAGATCGGCAGGAATCGAACCCGGGTCGCATTGGTGAAAGGCGGCGCATTAGCAGCGCACGACACCGGTGCTTCCCATTAGCGGTACTTAGCAAGAATGTCGTGCAACAGGTCTCTAAAGACTCTCCCTCCATGCGAGTCATTCAAGAATATGTGACGTCGGGAAAGAATTTGAAATCACACCTTGAAATTAAAACATTTTTTCTTAAACGTTTTTGATTATCAGGTTAATGCTCAGCCGGAGAGAGAAGCAAGCTTTGCGGCATATTTCTACTTTGTCATCTTCATCATTATGGGAGCTTTTTTCTTTCTTAACCTCTTCATTGGTGTCATCATCGACAACTTCAACCGACTGAAACAAGAGGTTAGTTTAGTATGATGACTTTATCAATCTCCCCACTTTTCACGTCGCCCACATAAGGCATTTGCTGATTCATGTTTTCTGATCGTAACCCACAAGTACGAAGACAGCGGCTCACTGGGATTTCTTCTAACACCAAGCCAACGTAGTTGGGTCAACACGATCAAGAAGACGTACAACCGCAGGCCAAAGAAACAGCCAAAAAGACCTACTGTAAGTTGAAGACCCTTCGGAATGTATCCTATCCAGTCCCCTTTCATCTACCCATCTATCCATCCATCTATCCATCTATCCATTCCATCCCATCTATTCATTCCATCCCATCCATCCATTCACCTATCTTTTCCATCCCATCCATCCATTCACCTATCTATTCCATTCCAACCATCTATTAATTCCATCCCATCCACCTATCCATTCCATTCCATCCATTCTATTACATCCACCTATCCATTCCATTCCATTCCATCCATCCATCCACCTTTCCATGCATCCATCTACTCACCTATTTATCCCTTCAATGTATCTATCTTTCAACCTACTTTTATGTCCCATTTATCCATTACATCCATCCACCAATACTATCAACCACCTTCTCGTTCAATTAATCCCATCCATCCATTCAACCATTCATCCATCCGTCCATTCATCCAACTATCCATCCATCCATCCATTCATCCATACATCCATCCAAGGTATACCGGTTGTTCAAATTCCAGTTCAATCACTCATCTCACAGCCGTGCCACAACCCTTTGTACTAATGTTATCATCTGATTTTCCATGCAGTCGAAGTGGCGTGGTTGGATCTTCGACCTGATTCACCAGAAGAAGTTCGAAGTGTTTATCATGTCTGTCATCATGCTCAATATGATTTCCATGATGATGCAGCATCATAACCAGAGCCAGGGCTTCACCAATGCTTTAAATATCCTTTAATGCAACTTTAAATTTCATTCCAAAAATTTTTTTGCGTTGGTGTTGCTGCTAATGTTGTGGTTGCTGCTGTTGTGGTTGGTATTTTTGTTCTTGTTCTTGTTGCTGCTGATGTTGCTGTTGGTGATGGTGATACTGTCTTTGTCGTCGCTGCTGTTGTTGCTGCTGCTGCCGTTGTAATATTTGTCGACGTTGTGGTTGCTGTGGCTGCTGCTGCTACTGATGTTGTTGTTGTTATTGTTTTGAATCTTTTCTTCAGGCAAAGCCCAGAAAGACGCAAGGGAAACTAGGTACCATTTGAAGTGCCCCCCCCCCAAAAAAAATCCACTCTCACACACCTACCTCATTTACCTCACGTGTTGATTTTACTTCTGTTGTTGTTGCTGATAATAATGGTAACCATGTCACCCAAGGTTCCCCTATCAGATCTAAACAAGTTTGGCACTTGCATCATTTGTAAATGGATTACTACTTCCTTGAAGAATTTGCCTTAACTAAAGTTCGGTCCTCGTACCGAGCCAACACGATATTCCAACTATGTGTTTACTGGGATTTTCATCGTGGAAGCCATCATCCGACTGACAGCTCTGAAGTTCGACTACTTCAAGCAGGCGTGGAACTTATTCGATTTTGTCATCGTCATCTTCTCGATAGTGGGTAAGTAATATATCCCTTGCACTGGGATCCCAGTGTTTGAACAGACGGCACAGTCATGGTACGGAAGTGACGACGTGACGACAGTGAATATCATTTTATCCAATCAAACTACAGATTCATTAACTCAGAGTTAGCCTCGAATCAGTGTCTAAATATTCACAAACACCAACGTTAATTAAGAATGCACAGCTTCAAGAATACCAACACTTTAAAACTCCACGGACCTTCACTGGAACACAGGAATATTCTGTACAAACTCGAGGCTAACCCTGAGCAACAGAGAACTCGAAACTGGAATATTGCCCTGACTTTGAAGAACCCAAAAGCTATTTCACGATACAGATAAATTTAAAAGTTCTTTTTTTTGATATCTAATGCCATGCTCCTCGTTTGTTCCAGGCATCATCCTCGATGACGTTCTTATGATAAAAATGGACTTTTCACCGGGTCTTCTCCGTGTTGTACGTGTGTTCCGTATAGGTAGATTACTACGATTCTTCGAAGGCGCCAAGGGAGTGCGACGTCTATTATTCGCTTTGGTCAAATCACTACCGGGCTTGGTGAATATCGCCACGTTATTATTTCTTATCATCTTTATCTATGCTATCATTGGCATGTCTTCATTTGCCTACGTGAAAAAGACCAACGGGATAACAGATGTTGTCAATTTTGAAACTTTTGGGAACTCTATGTTGTTACTATTTCGTATTGGCACTGCTGCGGGTTGGAATACCATCTTAGATCCGATGATGGTCACCTATCCGGACTGTGACCCCAACAAGGACCCGCCCGGTTCAAATATGGGAGGCAACTGCGGGAACCCTGTGTTGGCAGTCATCTATTTCGTCAGCTACATTTTACTTATCTTTCTTATTATCGTGAACATGTATATAGCTGTTATCTTGGAGAACTTTAACGAGGCACAGTCGCAAGAGGAGATTGGAATAACAGATGATGATCTTGAGACGTTTATCTGCGTGTGGGAGAAATATGATCCCAAAGCTACGCATTTCATCTATTACTATCAACTTAGTGACTTCCTAGACGAGTTGGATGAGCCAATGCGAATTCCAAAGCCAAATAGAGACAAATTAGGCTCGCTGAACGTTCCACTTAAAGCTAATAATAGAATATATTGCATTGATCTAATGCAATCGTTAATAAGAAGAGTTATAGGAGATATGGAAGGAATCGAGATGGAGGAAATGGATGAGATGATGAATAGGTTACGAGACAAGTTCACTTCAAAATCCAATAAGAACGAGGAAACTGTTCGTTTCATAAATGATTATTATGATCACGAGAATCAAATGGCAATAATCATTCAAAAAGCGTACAGGATTCATTTGTTAAAGAGAAAAATAAGGGAACATTGCCACACCAAGTTCCACAAGTATGATCGTTTGGTTGACAAGGACGGCAAGGATGCGAAACACAGTTCATGGAAGGAAAAACAACTACACCATAGACCGGAGGGCACTGCGAGTATGGAAACTGTTATAGGAATGCTATGGTATAATCAGGGAAAGCGACACGACTCTGCTAGAATCGAAACTACGTCGGAAGCCAAGGGCAAAAGCGGCGAAATCCCTGTGCCAGATAAAGACGAGGAGACGCAGACGGAAGATCCAGACACCGAAATCAAACCAAAACAAGGATCTGACTCAAAACGAAATTCCAACATTTCCAACTGTTGAGCCCGCTATCAATAACTCTCTTATCAGCGTATTTCTGCACTTTACGCAAGTGCAGGATATCGTGCCTGGCGTTCTACCAGTAAACAGTGTGAATGACATGGACATTTTCTCAGGGACAAACGAACGAACGAATTAAAAGTTGGGCCAGCATTCTGGGCCATTGACGAGAATTTGTCGGCTTCCGGTAACTCTTATGATGAAGAAACGTTACGTCATATTATTGCGTCGATAAACAACAGAGAATTAAGAAATCACATTTACAGCTTATTGTCTGCATTTGCTTCCTCCTCTTCAAGCTCTTCAAGTCTCAGATAAAATTTTAAATGAAATTTATTGACTTTTACATAGTACTCGGTGGATGGTACGTTTGAAATGAACGATGCACAAATGCAGAGAATGCGCCCGCACATAAACCTTCAATGTTAAAGTGTGTAAATACTGAAAATTTAGTCCCGTAGTTGGATGCGTTTGTGGATATTACCGGAGTGCTTACTTATTTCGTTTCTCCTCAATTATTACTTAACTATGCGTTGGACTTCAACTAACTTGGTCAGTCTTGTCGACATAAAAGGGCTGATTTCTGAGGTGTATTGACCAACAAGCAAGCTAAATGGACCATCCCATGGTCTGCACATTTCTGCTTTAGATACTGGTGGAGGAAGTGCTAAACAAACCAGTATCTTTGCCATGAAACGAAGAAGCAAAATGGTTTGTTGACTGGAGTTAAAAACTACGTTAAAATATCCTGCAATATGAAACCAAACCTTAAATTATTAGATTTTCGTCGATTACAATGGTTTCAACAAACAATGTGTTACATTTCTAAAGTCTTGGCCATGGCACAATTGAGCTGATCTATCCCAGATATTCATCGATATGGCGCGCTTTTTTGTTATTTTTACCACTAGACTCTAGAAGAGAGCTACTGTTTGCACCTCATCTTATTTTACTGTGCGCCAGTCTTGAATAAGAACACGCAATGAAATAATCTAACGACAGCTATGGCTGTAAAATTCTGAAATATGTAACGCCTTTAGATTTACGTGAATGTAAGACATTGTCCGCTGGGAGCAATAGTAGGAATGAGTTCCTGCTTCTAGTGCTATAGTTCATAATTTCACGTAAACACTGCTCAGTTTGTCTTTAAATTCCAATTCAGAAAATAGGCAGAAAAAAATGGAATTATTCTCATTTTCAGAAAAATATCAGCTTCCGAGCTTCTTGGCTTCATATTTTTCTTTGCGCCGGATGAATTCAACAATTTAGATACAATTTAGAATTATCTTTATTATACTAAGACTACAATTAAGCTAATGTGTTTATTGAATCCCAAAAAATTTTGATACGTCGAATGATTCACGTCTAATTCAAACGCGGTATTCCTGTGGTATGGGATGAGTAACCCAAATACGGTAGGAATTCTGCGTATGAAAAAATGGACGTCTGCAATAATCATTAACAAAAACTTACCTTCTGATATACCGTTGATTGTTACAACACTAAGTGTCAGAAATTTCAAATATATTTGCCGTCAAGAGTTGGTTTGTGGCGCGTATCAAACCACCAATGATAACTTCTTATTGCCTAAATATTACACCAGATATATTTCAAATTTCTTTTGCTGTAGAATAGATTATAAAAGCGTATAAAAGTCTTTTGTCCCTACACCTTCCTATATTTGTTAAATTTGATATTTATTTTTCATTGGATTCTAAAATCATTTTTTAGATGTTAATATTTTTTACTTCTCTTGCAATGTGAATTCTCTAGAAACGCCTGGCTTACCCATAACGCACTGGGCGCTAGGTGTTAATTAACCCATAATGCACTGGTGCCATTCTACCCATAGTGCGATGAGCGCTTGGTAGACTGTTTCGCTAGCTGTTTTTTTTAGTCAATCCTATAAGAGTTATCGGAGAGATATTAAGCGTTCTGCCTTTTTGGTCTTTTAATAACGTTTTATACTGATTTTGAATTTTTTATTAATATTGAACAGACATTGTTTTGAAGGTGTAAAATCGTATATTAAACACTTTCGCTTCTAAGTATAACAATTTGTGTTGTAATCTTTGTTATTTTCTTAACGTGGGCAGAATTTATTTTAAGGAGGCTCGAATCCCTCCCCTCCCCTCCCCCCTTCGTGTTCATTGTCTCCAATAGCTTACTACAAGTCTTTAATTCTAGTATGACGTCAACAATCTATTATTAAGGATGCATTTTCCTGAGCATGCAGGGTTGCTATTCTTAATTGCAACTGTAGATTGAAGAACTCGAACCTCATTTTCTATTTCGGATGCGTTTGTGAGCGTAATTTGTGACTGTCTATCATTGTTGAATTTTGTGTTATGTATAATTATGATAAATTATAATAATAATAATAATAATAACGATTGTAATAATAACAATAAAGATCTTGAATACTAGAAGCGTCAGTAACCAACCTACTGCCTTCCTATTGGACCCTGGCTGCGATCTTACAGGTCAAGTGATTTTTATCCGCCATCTTTGATCGCTAACGTCGCTGTTCAAGATAATTCACTAATCTTTGAGCCTGAGTAAGCGTGCTACAAATGAGATGAGAATAAAGAGAAGTACCCGAGGGCGAATAGCTGTGTTCTACTGATGACGTCACAATTGTGCATCTTGTGATGGAAATGCGGACGAGCCAAGTCCAGCGCACGTGCTGACATGCTGAAACAATGTTTTGGAATCTTGTTGCTTCCAATTCATTGGAGAACTATGGTTTTTCGACTAATATTCTTCTTGTCCTTATGATCAAAGCCTTTATATTATTTGTAATGCTTGTCCGCATTTTGATCAAACAAGGGCTTAATTTGCGATGTACTTTTAGTAGCCGAGGAAAATGTTATTCGGAATTCAAGATGGCGGCGCTCGATCACGTGACCAATCGTTTTATTTCCCAGAACTTTTTTGCCGAACTTCTTCTTGAGGCGGATTTCACGACTTTATCGAATCATGTCAAGCCAAAAGGCATACCACCAATTATGCAACGTCGTTCCTGACGCCATACAATAAATCTTCACGTTGTTTCTTTAATAAGCAAAGGAGCAACTGAATATTGGATGCAAGGAAAAGAACAAAAAACTACTCTTCAATGATTTTTAAAATTCTTTCTGCGCATGTCAGTCAAAAAAAATGGCGGATGTTTATCAAACTGGTCATCTTAAATGGATAGTCAGTGTGTTTGTTTGTTCATTTGTTTGTTTGTTTTTTATTTTTTGCTTGTTCATTTCGTGTGATAGTCCGTTTCAGTCATGCGCAGTAAGCATTTCTTGAGTTGTATCTCAGTCATATGCGCAGTAATTATCTTGTAAATTCTATAGAAGCAGTCTCTAATTATTATTTTACCAAACCTCTAACTGCTTCACTCTTTAAAAGTATTATCTTAAATTCGTTTACTTCTTTCTCTCTTTCTTCTAAAATGCCATGTCAAAAAAGCAATGCCTTGCTTCAAAGTTGGGACATTAGTACAGTTTATAAAATTTCAGACAAACTCGCTTAAACCTTCTACAAAAAGGCATCAATTAATATGAGTAGATAAAGTTCTACTGAGCCAAAACTATGTTTACATCAAGACAATACCATTGTCGATAAATACTAAGGTAGAAAGAGCTTCTTTGTTTAACAAGCGGTTTAGTGGGATTAAATTTGAGTGACATAAAAAGTAAAACAAAATTAACTGTGAATTTTAATCAAAGGTTTTTGGATACTATCACGGTCAAATGGACGGGACGATCTCGGTTAAAAGTATTGTTATTAATTATTAGGGAAATATTTAGTATCTTTAGACCGTGTGATTTCCATAGAAAGTTCCAACTAGGTGGAACAGTTACTAAAGACTGAACTGAACATTTAAAAAAGAATAATTTATTTCATTCGTTTTTCAAAATTGTTTCAAGATATTTTTTCCTCCTCTTTCTCTCACTATCATTTGAGACAGTACATCTTTGACTGAGAGACACGTTTTTAACAGCTTCCATCGGCTGTTGTTATTCCGGCATTAGTTAATAGTTAATAATTTGAAATTTAGCCATTGAAATTTAAATGAAAAATCATGTTTAGTGTACCAATGCAAAAACGGTGTTGCAATTTTTTCTTGTGGATGTGTATGAGAATATATATGAAATATATATTTGTACTGCGGTTGTGATGTATCAAATTGAGCTGATCCTCGCAGTGTGTGAAGCAACTTGTGCAGCTGCAAATTGAAAGACCCAGAAAAAAATCCAAGTCTCGATTTTTCTTGTGAAGTCAACAAGCTATGAGGTTAGTTAATTTAAATCTAAACTTCTTGTGAAATCGGATTTTCTCTCGCTTCCGAACACCCACGTTGAAAAAGCGGCCATTAACGAGCCGACAGCGATGTTAGGCTATTAATTTACTCTTGGGAATAAGTTCTACGTCACTGATTGTTATATTCTTAGAATGAATACACGATGAAGGCTCAAGAACAATAACATGTAAATCTTGCCGGACAGAAGGAACCATTTGTTGACCTGGCAACATAGCCTGGACCTACCTAACGTAATCTCGCATAAGATCGGCTACGAGTTTCTAATTAAGAAGATTTAGGGCTTCTCACACAAGTCGATAGAAACGAGTGTTTAGCAACAGAACTTGTCAACTGGAAAACACCTTCGTGAAAAAATAAACTCAGGAGACACGGAATCCAAAGATACTATGCTAATAGGAAGAGTTCAGAGAAGCCATCTATGGAAAACTGCTAGCCTTATGACTCAATTATGCAATTGTGGGCGCATTTTGGATCAAGTTAGAGGGAAAATGTGCTGAAATATTCACTAAATATGACGAACTCAGAGGTAAGAGTAAAAAGTATAAATTTCAACTCAGTATTGTCTTCTTCAGAGTTCTTTCCAATTAGTTTCCGGAAAGCGTGCTGCGCTGAGTCAGTTAATATTCACTCAAAACTGGTCTCCTTTCCAAAGTTCCAACTTCAATTTATAAATATTGAACCCTCTGGATGTGTTTTCGAAGRGTTCAACCTCGAGACTTCCATTCAAAAAGACCATTATAGACAGTGTTTTGAGGTCTTACTTTGCGTTTAAGTGAAGAAGAAAAAAATCGCATTCACCAGCTGTTTGGTATTATTTTCATCTTCAAATTAAACTCTGCATTTCTTTATAGGATAAGTTTTTTAAAGCTTATCTTACGTAAACTCGTTATTCTAGTCTTCTCTCCAACTCTAAACAACCGCTTTCTTACCAACCTAACTTCATATGACAAAAGTTTTATGTAAACTTTTTGGAGTGGTTCTTCACCACAGTCTCGAACGAGCGGCTTTTCCAAATGCAAGGTGTAATTATCTCAAAGTCCCCGCTCAAGAACCGGGGAAAATTATGATTTTATTCGCGTTATAATCTTTATCCGGCGATTCTTTACAAGAGCAGAAAATGTTTGTTTTTCTTTCCCAGTGTTAAAATGCCATATTACGCTGATAAAAGCCCTTTATTCTTTGTTTTTCATAACATTGTAGCTCTCGACAAGTTAACACGCTGTGCACTGTCAGTCCGTCCAAGACAATAATTCAAAAATGGCGATTTTAAATTATGGTTTTACTCTGCAGTTTAAATTGCCAGTGAATTTATTTTTATTCTCGAAAACGTTTTGTACCTTTGTGCTAATTATTTTTTTAAATAATAACACGAGAATATTCGATCCAACTTCGCTCAGATGATTTCACATGAATGAAATAGCAGAACGACAAATCTTATTTTCTCGAAAAAACATTTCTCCAATTCATTGGCTTAACATATAAAATTTTTTCTATCCTCAAAGCCATAGATGTATATAAATAAAAGAATTTCAGCACCTATTYGCAGATAAGTGCCATCGTATTTCACATATGAATTGTCTAATTTACAACTGCTTAGTATACCGACAGTTAGATATCGAAATGTAAATAAGTGCTTTTATTTCATATTACCAATTCCTAGTTTCGTGAGAAATGACGGTTAAAAAACGTCAGGTTTTTTCGTTAAGCGTGGATTTATATTGCTTTCCATTAAGTTCTTAGCAATCTAGACAAAACTGGCTTGTTAAAGCGCCTTCGGACATCAAAGCCATCTTTGTTTTATGATCTTCCTTTATTTTCCATTTTTCACTACTTTTTGTCTTCAAATTTTACTCATTATTCTTGAAGAAAACCCCCGTCTTTTTTCATTTACTTAAGTTCTCAATGTTGATATTTTCTATAAACAGTTTCTTTGGTTGTATTGAACTCTTTAACCAGGAATAGATAACTTACTCGTAGCTCAAGGCGGCTTTTAGATTAAGCCTCAACCAATTTATAACAAACACGGCACAAGATCCGACAAATGCAAATTGGTCAAAAAAGAGTAGGTGCCAAAAGTATTGATATCCTCATTAAAACAATCCGACGGGAAGAGAATAGTAGCCGTAGAAACAGAGCTATCGGCTGAAAATATGAAACCAAAAGTTTGATTTCAACTTCACTTTGGAAAATGACATCACACGTTTACAGTGAAACATAGAAATGTTTCTTTTTGATGTTGAAATTGGAAGCCCTTGAAATTGCAACTTTTTCAAGAGTAATACAAAAAAAAAATCGTCTGACATCGAAATTACAGTTGAAAATACAGAGTCAGTATACACCCACCGGTTAGCTCAGTTAGTTTCACGGGGCACCGCTCTGTTGTGCGGCCWGACCAACACTCAGGGTCTAAAATATCTTAGTAAAAGGTGCTGCCTTAGCTGTAAAAATATCCAATATCGATGGCAGTCCCTTGTCAGTTAGAGACGTTCAAGGGGCACAAGTTTATCACTTCTAAGTTGGAACTTCTAAACCTAACCCTCTCTAAATAAGGACAATTCATTTCATTATCATTTACCCTCGCACTTCCATTCATCGTGGCAACTGAAATATTTTCTAAGTTTCTTAAAACTTAGGGTCCCGGGATGACCGAAGTCTGTCAGACATATTTCCCAACTATCTTTCCTTCAAGGGCGCTTTGCGCCGACTTATCCTGTGAGGTATCGACTCAATCACAACTTTTTCATTCGTTTCAACTTGGTCAGTGTTTGAGTCATTTCTACCTATCTGACAATATTAATAATGCAGTGTTCTGATGGTTCTGTAATAAGTCTTTCCTGCTGTGAAAAACAAATTTGTGCTGTTCAAGATTATAACACTACAGATTCCGAAAAAAAGACTCAAGTTTCAAGTTTGCATCCAAACTAGATACATTCAGTGTTTGATTACGAAAACTTAAAAATGAATCGAAAAAATTTCAAACTGATTGCAAGGATTTTTCATATCATTATTCAATTTCAAAATAGTTTGGAAGAATGTGCAACAGCATTACTTCAGTAAAGCTCTTGCAGTTTTTTTCGTTAAATAAATGAAGAAAATTTGGAAAAAAAGTGTTTTGGTTGAAATCGTTCTTTTTACCACCTTTTTTGTTTTGTTTGTTTTTGTTTTCAAAAAACCTTTAAAATAGTCCAGAATCGTTAGACTTTTTTGGGAATTTTTTCGTCTATCGATCAATGTCTATATATCTCAAGGTCCGCTATTAATAATAGATAAATAGGATTCAGCAGTGCATTTCCACAGAGTGGCTCCTTCATCCATTTTAATTGGAATTTAGAAGAAGATTTTTGCGAATAGAGTGAAACTGGAGAAAAACTGGAGAAAACCTGTTTTTGACTTAATCATCTGAGAAATGTGTCAATTAACAATCGAGAAGTGATTTGAAATTGCTTATATTTTGGCCAAAAGTTCAAAAGTACTTTCGTGTAAACAACAGAAAATTCCCCAAGCCATTTCAAGGTCGTTCTAGATATACCATACCTCAATTAAGATTGAAATTGGAATGTCAACCGCTTGAGTTTTAAGAGCTAGTAAATAAGACATGTTGAAAAGAAATTGAATCAATATGAAAGCCATTAAAGTTTAATGACCTTCTAAGAGCTCGGGTTTTACTAAGACATATTGCAGAAAATAACCCAAAATTAAATTTGGTTAACAAGTTAAAATATTGCGATTTCCTATCTTCACAAATGATAATGTTTTGGCGAGGAACCTTGCCGATGGTTCAAGAAGAGGCCATTTTTCAATTTAAGCTTGATTATTGCCTAAGGGGACAGTCATTGATATCGAAATAGAAAAGCAATTTGAAGTCTTAATGGATGTGGAGAAAGGATCAAGAATGAAACATCTATAGCGATGACTAATGTTGGTGCGGAAATTTGTTTTAATTCCAAATATTTCTGACTATAAATTTTGCTGCAAGCAATGACAAGCTAAATTTGCAAATATTCCCCAGGGAATAAAAGACCTATTTGAAGGGAGGATATTAGGACGACATTCACTACGGGTTGTCTAGCGTCATTTATAAATGCCCTGTTAATATACGACTCCGCGGGATTTATGCATTTCGGCACGCAGCGTTGTTCTATTCTTTAATTTCGTTCGAAGCTTGTGCTGCCTTCAAAATTTCAATATTTTTTTAACATATATATATTATGAGCAAGATTGTCCTCGTTTAGGTTGTTGGTATCTTAACCGAAAGCAGACAATTGAAGTTTGTCTCTCTGTCCGTCTGTTTGTCTTTCTATTTAACTGTCTGTCCGGGCGTATTTCCGTGTGACTGTGTGTCTGTCTATATTTGTCTGTCTGTCCGTCTATCCTTCTCTTTGTTACTGGCGTTATTCTCTTGTTTCGTTTCGCTCGGTTCCCGGGTTCAGTGGTTGGATGGTTGAGATGTGAACACCAAATTTTGTTTTATTTCACGGAGTAGAATTTCTCTTATGCGACTCTGCAACAAATAATATCTCTCGGGCGTGAGGTGGTAATATGACTATTTGCAACT